CCGGTGACGTCTCCTCACCGCGGCCCCAATCATCACAATTCTCTGCTCTCTTCTTCTCTCTCCGCCTCTCTCTGCGCGGCTCGTTGCCGCCGTCATCGGTTTCCGTCGCCCGCCTCCTCGCCGCGTCTCACCTCATCTTGCCACTTCTCGTGCCTCCTTCCCGGCGCCCGATGTCTGTCGCCGGGGCCCATTTGTGTTCACTCGTTTCCGCTCGTTTTACACTCTTTTGCCGTCTTTGCCGACGTCCGAATGGATCTATCCCTTTCCTGGTCTGAGTAAGCCTCATTTCACACCTTTTCTCGCCCTCTCGCCCTCTCGCCACGCCACACGCCACACGCCGCTCACACAATCCCACTTCACACCGGCACACAACCTTGCAGGCCGGCTACACCAGACACGGCGCTTCAAGTCACACAAGCGCAATCTAACTGCTCATCTCTTCACACCAGAACATCGACACGATATCACATCGTATCACATCACATCATGTCACATCCCGCCACATCACATACATTCGCATCACCCACACCACATCATTTCATATCCCATCCCATCACATCACATCATACCATATTATATCCTTTCGCATCACACCACATTTCACATCCCGTCGCATCACACCACATCATTTCACTTCCCGCTATATAACATCACACCACATCACGTCCCGTCGCATCACATCGCACCACATCATACCATTTCACATCCCGTCACCTCACATACCTTTGCATCACGCCTCATCATTTCACATTACAGCATATCCCGTCGCATCACACCACACTACATCAAATCACATCTCACCACATCACATCACATCATTTCACATCCAACCACATCACATCACACGAGATCACATCACGCCACATCTACTCTCCGCATTATACCACACTATTTCAAACCACATTGCACCACATCACATCACATCCCGTAGCATCACATCACACCAGATCACATCATTTCACATCAAGTTACCTGGCACCGAATCACATTTCACATCGCTCCACATCACAGACCAAATCATATCATTTTACATTCCGCTACATCACATCAGATCACACAATATAGCGTCATGCCACACTACATCACATTTCTTCGTATCACACCACACCACATCATTTCACATCACATCACATCAGACCAGATCACATCATTTCACATCCCGCCGCATAAAATCACATCAGATCAAATTATATCATTTTACATTCCGCCACATCATAGATCACACCAGATAACGTCATGCCACACCACATCACATTCTTTCGTATCACACCAAACCACATAATTTCACATCACGCCACATCAGATCAGACCACATCACATCATTTTACATCCCACCACATCACATCACATTCCTTCGTATCACCCCACAATACATCATATCACATCACATCAGACCAAATCACATCATTTCACATCCCACCACATCACATCACATTCCTTCGTATCACCCCACAATACATCATATCACATCACATCATTTCACATCCCGCCACATCACATCAGATCACACCAGATCACGTCATGCCACACCACATCACTTTCCTTTGTGTCACACCACACCACGCCACATCATTTCACATCACGCCACGCCACACATCACATCCCGTCGCAGCACACCACTCACTACTCTGCACTGGCCCCACGCAACCACACACAGCACACTTGGCACACGCAGCTGCTACTATTCACTTCACAACACCACATTTTGCCAAATCCCATCACACCTCGTCTCACTTCACACTCCACTTCCGCCACCTTCTCTCAAACTCCACACCGGGAAAGTCAACTTGGCCTCACCTCGTCACACCAAACCACACCACATGGTACCGGACAAGACAGCACATCAAACGACCTCACCTCACCTCACCTCGCGTCACACCACATCACACCGCACTGTGTTTGCAACACCTTGCCCAGACTAACTCGAGTTGAGCATCCTGCTTGATCGCATTCTCGTTGCTTCTGTCTGTCTGTCTGTCTGTCTGCCTGTCTGCGTGTGTGTCAGTCTTACGGTGTGTCCGTGTGTCGATGTTGTCGTGCCGACGGCGGTGCTTTGCTCACGAGCACGCCGTCTGGCCGTCCTCTCGAAGGCAGTCGACGGTTAACTTTGTCTTCTGCTGGGTTCGGGGGAGTAAAGCAGACGTAGTGGCCGGCCGCACTCCCACCCCACCCCACCCCCTACCTCGGCCTCTACCCCCCGCCCCAAGGGCCGTCGTTTCGCGTCGCCTGCTCCCCCGACGGGGTCGTGAGTTCCTTTCTGGTGCATGGCGTCTGTCATGTGGACGCATAAGCCGCGCCATCTCGCCGTCTGATCCACATTTGCCCGTTCTCCACGCTCTCTCTCTCTCTCTTTCCTCCTTTCCCTCCCTCTCTCGATCTCTCTTTCTCCTCTCCTGCGCCGCCTCGACACCGGCACCGCAGCCGGAGCCGGTGTCGTTGCGCGATTGGTCCGTCGACCGGTTGAGGCGTGTCGAGTGAACGCCGCCGGCAAAGTGGACGGGCGGGCGTGCGATGAGCCCGGCTGGTGCCTCCTCCATGACTAGAAAGTGCACTCACTTCCACCCCAGCATAACACATCATCGTCGGTTCGCCCCCTCGCCCCCTCGCCCCCTTCCTCCACCTCATTTCTGCACTCTTCTCCCGTCTGCATCACCTCCTCCCACCAATACAACCACATTATCCCACTGACGG